ACTTTTCCTTTAACATTCAACACTTTTATAAACTAATGTGAACTGTAACAGTTTGCTGTAACCTTTTTTTTTCTTCTGAGGTATAACTTGCATTTAAAACTTAACATTTAAAATGAGTTGTCCTGTGAATCACCCGAATGGTTCTGCTGTTTGAAGGCGAGTGAAATCAAGCAAAACTGCAAACATGGAATAAATCCACAGCTTCTATCACAGATGAAAATTCAAGTTAAACTTTTTTCAGTTAAAAACTCAAATTCTGGTGAAATCCCGACTAAAACTACTAATTAACCATCTACAGAATGACAAAATGGAGGAAAATCAGGAAATGATGTCACAGTTCGGTGTTGATTTTATGGTTAAATACCAAAGTTTATCTGGAATTTTGAATGAGGTTAAATTGGCTCAAATCCCTCCCTGTTAGAATATTAGGGCGGGTAGCACTGCTGCCTCGCAGCAAGAAGGTTCCGGGTTCAATTCCCTGGGGTCTTTCTGCATGCAGGTTGCATGTTCTCCCTGAGCATGCGTGGGTTCTCTCCGGGTACTCCAGCTTCCTCCCACAGTCCAGAAACATGACTGTTAGGTTAACTGGCTTCTCTAAATCCTCCTTAGGTGTGAATGGTTGATTGTCTCTGTGTTGGCCTGCGATGGACTGGAGAGCTGTTAGAATATTCTTTATTTTCAGTTGTTGCTGTTTTACAGTAATTTTTCTTACATATTTCTTCTTCTTAATTATAAGTTAATCTATTAAATGTTTTGGGAAATCCATTCTACCGTGTTTGATAGAGAAGACTTCTTTAGACAAGCTGTTTGCAGCTACACCACCAGGTGGCAGTGAAGGCTGCCTGTTAGTGGTGGACCAAGTACTCAACAGGAGTATCTGAGTAAAAGTATTGATACTCGTAGTCAAATCTTAGTCGTCTGCAAGTAAAAGTTATTCTGGCAATAATCTATTGAAGTGCTGAAGTATTCAAAAGTACATTTATTTAAAAGAACAAACAAATTTTTCTAATATCAGAAAATTCTCAGAGTAATTCTACAGAACCTGTAACTTTCAGAAACCAGCTGAAGTTCTGACCCATAGAACCACGTGCTACAGATTCTACACCACCTGGAAAGAACATCAGCTAAAAAAAGCACCATAGAAGAAGAGTTATTTTTATTTAAAATCACACCACATAGAAACCAGAGAGTCTTGATCACATGTTCACTAATAGAGGTTTAAGATGAATCTATGACCACAAAGAAACTAAAACGAGAGAACTCGTCCTACTGAACAACTTGGCCACATGGCAACAACTCACGCCTTAAAAATCTAAACTACAACTAATATCTCCTCTGAGTTTTACACATTTGTGGAAAATCTCGCAAATCTCCAAACCAGCGTTCATTCCAAACGGCTAATATCTGGCATGTTTTAGTCCTTCATCCGGCTGAGGCACCCAGACCCCGGCCCCCGGCACCCAGACCCCGGCACCCAGACCCCGGCCCCCGGCTCTCAGCTGCTCCGGCAGACGTTGGCAGAAATCAGAGTATTTCAGTCGGATCAACCTAGAGCTAGTTGGATATCTAATGTCCAACTTCTAACCAACTTCACCGCTGTCATAATCATCCTACTTTATTTAAAAAAAAAAAAAACTTTTGGTAGATTTGTTTATTACGAAAAATAGTGATTTTGCTATATTGATGTTTTAACACAAAGGTACGAATTTCAGTTGTATTTTGGTCCAACTAAGATATTCCAGCATATTAAAGAAATGCATGGTTAAGTGTAAACATCTAGTCACATTTGTGCAGTTCTTTCTCACTGCAGGGCGACGTTTCTGCTCTCGCTGAATGAGTTTGCAAAGGTTTCTGGGAATCCACTTCACTCCCAAGTCAGCTCCTGACCTCACTTGGTCTGAAGGGATCATTTTAAGGGTTGGAGGGCGCTTTGCCCTAGCTCTTAGAACTATTGGGACACACTAACCTGAAAGGCGAACGTGCAAAACCGAGTGCTAGGGTCCGAAATGAGTGCTAGTGAGAGAAATGGGACTGCACAGTAAACTCCACAGTGTTAAATGTGCAGTGTCAAAGTACACTTACTCTTTTAGAGTTATTAAAACAACTAGAGTTAAATATACACTAAATAGAGTTCTAATTTAGCACTAACTCCGAGTGGGACCAAATGCACTCTTCAAGTGTTGAGATAATAAATAAACTGTGAGATCATGATGTGGACGTAGCTGAGATTTCAAGAAATCTAAGCTGAGCCAAAGGAACAAATAACAACCAGCTTCCTAGAAATGTATGAGAGTGAAAGTTCTAAGTAATCCCCACAAGAAGTTAAAGATACAGAAACAATGTTCCTAAGAACCATAAACCAGTAAATCCCACTGCTGCCTGTAGTTCACTGGTGCTGCAGAGATGGATGCAGTTCATTCAGGATCAGCAGGTCTAAAGTGATTGATTGTTCCGTTTCTTTAAACTACTGAAATTATGCAGAATATAAAAATATACGTAAGATACGAGAAATAATAGTTTTACTGTTTGGATTGTTCTGTCATAACTCTGGCAGCTGATGCATCATTTCTGCAGGAAATGTTTCCTAAAGACTTTTTTTTAAAACAACTTATCAAATAATCGGTAAATCCTGTGCTAAGAACAATCGTAGCGTAACGGCGTGACCGGATCCTCCAGGTGTTTTATTACGTGCTGTTCATGCCTCCAATGAACAAACGGAAAACAAGTTCATGTCTCTGAAAGACAAATGTGACTCAAATACACAATAAAGAGCAAAATAAAAAGCAATGTGTGCCTAGAATAAAACTCTGATCAGCCGCGTATTTCTCAGGTTAAACATCAGTTTACAATAAAACACGAAATTCAAAAACTCCGTGTTTGTGTTTTGTTTGTGACAAATGTTTAGAAATGGGCAAAAATTCAACTGATTTCAGATGATCGAGGTAAAGGTTCACTTTGCTCTAAAGACGGTGAGTTATTTCACCCAGTTTTCTGTTTTTACATTAATCTTTAGGTTCTCAGAAGATTAAAGGACCAAAAAACTGAAAAGCAGAAACGTAGGCCGACTNTAACTCCATTTTGACGCTTTGTGGTTCGTGCTTCGCATGTGCGACTCCACTGCCTTAATTCCCATCGTTCTGAGCTTGAATGACTTCTTGCACAAAATGCACTGTGCCTCATGTATGTTCCCTGGTTTTAGCCATGGAGAAAACTCTTGGCTACAAAGTCTCACCCTAAAGTGGCCTATAAAGGTCGGAACTGGAGCTGCTGCTCTTCGTTTACCCTGCAGAGGAATGAAATCTGACCGCCCAGAACGCTGATGATCCTCCTGCTTTCCTGATGTTCCAGGAGGAGCAGCTGCTTCTTCCTGTTCTGCTGTCTCTGCATTAAACTGAGGTTTAAAATGCACGAGGCTCACCTGTGGCTGTGGTTGAACTTCTGCACCAGCTTTCCGCCATCAGCCAGGCGGATCTGAATGTTAGTGGTGGGCTGGGAGGGGTCCAGGCTCACAGAGGAACCGGCCTGGGCTTCATTGGCGGCCTGGTCCTGCTGGGAGGAGGGTGGAGCTGAAACCAGCTCAGGGGTGGCACTGAGGAAGAGGAAGAAGTATTTACTTGGTATCCTGTAGATGAAAAACTCTGGATATCGCCCACACAAGGTGAGCAGATCTGTGCAGATTTATTTCCTTTCTGTCTCTGTGCCAAACTAACT